ACACATATATATATATATGTGTATATCGGATCGACTCAGGGAAAGATGGCAAACCAAGTAGTTTCACTTATCTGGTATCATCAAAGAAACCTTCGGAGCTCCAATATGGATGAGTCGGACGAGCAAAGAGGAGTCTGGCAGCCGTTCGGAATCCATTGCACCAGCAGTAGGAGCGGGCTTGCCACAGGAAAGGGATTATATAGGGATCAGGGCAGGATGCGGGAACCTTTTTAGATTGCAGACTTACGGGTCATTTGGGGTCCCGCCGTGAACTTCTATATGTGGGCTACTCTGAAGCCATAAACACACTGCCGACAGAACACCTCAATCACGGAGCAGAACAACGAAGCACGGGAAAGGGTCAGGCAACGCCTTGTTGAGCAGCACGGCGAGCCACAGCCATGGTTCACCTGTGGCAGTCGGGAGGGCCGTCGGTTGTAATATGATGTGAAAAGCTTCAGCTATAGAGGTACATACAAAACTTAGCTGCAACAGTAGGTGATCTATCTTTCCTATGCATGATCATTTTGTGAAACGGGTTTGTAGGGTTTTTATTGTATGCTTTTGGCAAATAGATAGCTCTATCCGCCCTATCCTTCTGGCAGTCCATGGCCTTCACATCGAAGTGCTCAGCATCGCCAGCCGGGGCAGCCTGACGAGCAAGTGCAGGCCGGGGGTTGGAGTTTGGGATAAACATAGGATGGGCCTTCCAAGGATATTGCTCAGGCCGAAGAGTACTCGTAGTCCAGGGTCCAGAGAACCTGTCCAGATTTGGGTTGAAATTTATCAATGGTTTTGAGGGTTCTAGGGGGATTCGTTCTGTATAGAATTCACCTATTCTCATGTGTATACCCGTCCTTGTCGTGGCGGTTCGAGAGAAGTTTTCCCAGGATCCATCAAAGACCTGGCAAGGATAGGAAAGTAGGATAAGGAGAAAAGTGTTTAAGGCTGCCCACTGTGTGTGTAGCACTGCATGTAAAGCTTCGGATATTTTGCACAGGTCGCACTGAGCCATCGTGAAGCTTTCAGTCACTCAGGCTTGTGCCTTCGGGTTGGCCGCAAGCATTACCCCGGCTAGCAGCACTCCCAAATGTACAATCCTACAGTAGGTCCTAGGGTGGCCTACCGCGCAGTTTGAAGCCAGTGAAAACAGACGATCATCCACAAGCCACAAGCTTCCGCTCGTACCCAGCAGATTCAATCTTGCTCAGCATAAGCCTTAGATTGTGATCCAGTGCCGGAGATGCACAGATAATGTCTATGTGAGAGAAAGACCGGCATGCACACACAGACACACTTGCACCCATACACACAACATTGTCCCTCTCTCTCTCTCTCTCTCTCTTTCTCTTTTATTTTCTTTATCTCTCTCATACTTCAATTAATCAAGATTTAACCAAGTGACCTTCTTGGCCTGAACGATTGCCTTCTCTTTCGAAAGGCCACTGTTCAAAGCAGCTTTCTTCGCTCTGTGATAAGCACAACTCTTTCTGCTCTTCAGGCCCGGGTCCTGTGAAGCCGCACCCTTTGGCTCTCCACCCTTCCCATCCTTCCCACCCTTGGGGGGGCTTGGGGCCGGCTTTGCTTTGCTCTTGCCTTTTGCCTTGGGCTTGGCTTTGGGTCTCGCTTGCGGGGAATAAAACTTGGTATCCTGGCTGTTGGGTGCTTCAGCATCTGGTGCCTTGCGCTTGTTGCTTGCTGCTTTCTTCGGGGTCGCGGCTTTCTTTGCGCTTGGCTCGGCTATCTTAGCTTTGGCCTTGGCTTTTGGCTGGATGTCGTGCTTTCTTGGGCGGCCGGGCTTTCTCTTCGGCTCAGCTGCCGTCTCCGTCTCCTGTTCATCCTTCTTGGCTGGTTTCTTGGATGTGCCACGGCAGGTCTCAGCCGACTTGGCTGCAGCACTCTCGTCAGCTTTGCCATTCTTCTTGCCACCCTTCTTGCACATCTGGGCCTGGTCACCTGGGGCCAAAGCACCAGCCGTGCTCAGAAGGGCAGGCCGTGTCATGCCTATTTTTTCGGTAGTCTCGCCACCCTGTGCATCGGAGCCAACAGCGGGCGCGTCTGGACCCTGAGCATCGGAGCCTCCTTCAAACTCCTTCGGAGCCTGAGCATCGGAGCCTCCCTCAAACTCCTTTGGACCCTGAGCATCGGAGCCTCCCTCAAACTCCTTTGGACCCTGAGCATCGGAGCCTCCCTCAAACTCCTCTGAATCCTGAGCACCGGGGCTTCCTTCAACCTCTGGGTCCATGGAGCCTTCTTCAGACTCCACCGGGGCAGCTAACTCTGGCAAAGGATCCTCCTGATCATACTCGGCTTCAAGCTCTCTCTTGATTGGCACTTCCAAAGGTTCTTGCTTGATTGGCACCGAAGGCTTCACTGCTGGCTCTACCAAAGGCTGCAACGGCTTGCTTGGTGGCGCTTCCACAGGCTTGCTTGGCACCTCTTGCAAGGGTTCCTTCTTAATGCGGACCGGCTCTTGCTTGATTACTTTTGCTGCTTTCGGGGATGGTCCAAACTCAACAGTCGCAGTCAACTGTCGCTTCGGACCCAATTTCGCAGGGGCCTTTGCATCAAACACATGAGCAGCCATAGCTGCCCTTTCCTTTTCCTCAACATCTTTGCTCATGCAAACCGCAGCAGCATCCAAACTGCCTGGGTCCATGATTTGAGTCTCCTGCGTCGTCAAGTCACCTGATAGTGCAATGACACCAGATGCCGAACTCGTGATGATAGCTACGTACAACATACAATTCTCCCCCACACTAGGTGCAGGCAGGCTACCCTTAGATGGGCAGCAGGATTTCGCAGCTAGCTGCTGCTTTGCCAAAAGCAAACGAGACAAGTGATGCTGCTGCTCCGTCAGGGCTTGCAAAATTTCGCGCTTGCTGGGGGCAGGCAACTTCACTCCTGATACAGGCGACGTCTCATTGCCTGCTGCGTGCCTCGGGGTGATCACTTCCTCCATAGACGGCACCGATGGGATGCTTCCTGGGATCAAACATATGTGGCCCAATGCAGTACGACTCTTTACCGATCATGCTCATGCAAGCACGAACCCCATTAATGATTGCAAAGCTTCTTGGAGAGGGTTTACCCTCTGGCTTCTCGGGATTGTCGGGCTCGCAAACATCATCATCAGTTCCTGCTTCCGACTCACCCGCCTCGTCATAGCCGACCTGTCGCATCCCCGAAACTTTGGGAACACCTGCCATAATTCACTGAAAGCTAAGAAACCGCACCTCTTCGGATCCATGCTGCTCATCCAGGGACTCGTTGGATCGTAGCTGCCGTCCTGGGATTGGGTTTTTGTATTGCTGGGAAATACAATAAATAAATATATATATATATATATATATTTATATTTATATAGATAGAGATATAGATACAGTTGCAGACAAAGTACCGGGTGGAATCTCCAGGCCCAAATGGGTGTAGATCTTCCGAACATTCTCTTCGTTTGGGCGGTGGGGCAGCTTGCATATCCGGTTGAACATAGAAATCAAGTTACGAACTCGCCAAGCTTGTGTGCGACAAAACTCGCCTCAGTGATCACTCACTACTCACTCTCGGCAGGAAGTCGAATATGCTAACATGATTTATAATGAAGCCTGGTAACGACTGACTGGCTTCCTGCCCTTCTGCCGGGAACGCTGAAAGAAAAGATCAACCTCGTCTTGCAGTTGATCCACCCCTGGACGTGCACCCATGTACTCCATCGCCTTGGCCACGATATCCCAATTGAAATCTAAGTCGGCCCGAGTGAGCACAGCTGCTCCAACGACCAGTCGGCCCCCTGCACCCCTTTCTGCAAGGCCCTCGAGGTTGAACCAATCCACACTCAAGCCACTTGATGGCAGGTCCACGCTGCTGGACGACATAGCTAAGCAGTATCGAATCTTAATATGCGATCTCATGCAGAGCAACATGCCTCCTACCGCAGTCATGAGTCGTACGTACAAGTGGAGTTGTACCATGTATGTTCAAAGTCCCTCTCATACTGTGCAGAAGCCCACGCTGCACCGTTCATGTCACATCTAAAGCATGCAAAGAAGACAATGAGCGAGAGAGAGAGAGAGAGATAACATGCGCATACCCAGAACCAGCCGGCACCACCTCCGCAGAGATCTCCCGACAGCCCCTGGCAGGCAACCATATGCACTCCTACCGGGACACGAACTTCTTCATCGTCTTGTCTATCTATTTATATTCCTAGACTATCCCCACATATATGTATATATGCATGACGTGTGCATGTAAGCATGTACGTACAATATATATATATATATATGGGGTTGCATACATACCATGTATATATATATATGTGTACATGCGTATGTGCATCTATACTGTAGGTCTAGACCCGTGTATATACCCATGTATAATTTATAGAATGTGTGGGTATGTACATGTCACGTGTATGTGTTTGTATGTATGTATGTATGTATGTATGCATGTATGTATGCATGTAATTATGTATGCATGTAGGCATGTATACATGTATACATGTATGCATATATACATTATACACAGTGTGTATATGTTCTAATGTGTAGGAAAGAAGACCGGCCCGGCCTCCTCAACGGGCCATCCAAGTCGAGCTCGAGCACGAACTTTGGCGATCGTATGGGCACAAGTATGTGGGCAAGGATTTACGCGTGACACGTTTATTTCCATACGTGACTACTGACAAACCCGATTTCTATACGTGAAATCGCAATCCTTGGAAAAAGTCAACACACACGAAAATAAACATGCGATTAGATGACCCAGG